TCTTTGTACTATGCTTCATATGACTGCTATGTCCTGCTGGAGTGTGACATGATTTGTTTGTGTACAAACTAATACACTATCAGAGTTTTATATATTTATACTTCTCATTCAACCACAGTTAAATTCACTCTATCCAGGAGGCTCAGTATTTATTTATTACAATAACAAGCTGCAATGAAAACAAGCAGAAATGAAATAAAAGTAACGACTTTATACTTCTTGTCTTTTTAAATTGTAAGGAGTAAAAGTAAAAAGTAGGCTCAAAAAGAATTACTCAAGTAAAGTACAGATGCCAAAAAATTCTACTTAAGCACAGTAAGAAAGTATTTGTAAAGTAACTAAGTACAAATACTTTGTTACTTTCGTGAGACCAAAGTTGTAAAGTAACAACTTAGTTACTTTACAACTTTGGTCTCACGAAACTCAACAGTCCTCCCTCGCTCTCTCTCGCTGCGGTTTAATATCCACATTTCTGCTGGAGTATGATTTTTGGATGAGCTTCGTCTTTACATAAGAGACACCCTCCATCTTTTGTCATTTTGGTATGACTCCGGGTAGTGCATGACCTCAAATGAAACTGGCTCTTCGTCCGCAAGACATTCCATTGAAATGGACAAATGTGCTGTGCAGGTCGCAGCTGTCTGGGAAAGCTGAATGGATTTTGCATTAGCTTCCCAACAGAAGCGCACCCCCCTGCTGCTGTGTGGACGCTGATAATAACTGCAGTGGGAACGTTATGTTCAGGGCCGAGCAGGTAAATGGAAACACATGGCAGCGCCGGAGGACGGAGGGAAAGGCATCACAGCGCAGAGACACGCGAGCTCTGAGTCTCTTTAACCTGTCGGTGTTATGGCTGCAGATGATTGAAGGATCCTGTGAAGGAACACTATGGGATCAATCTTGTGCCAGCAGGAACTGAATTTGAATTTCTCAGATTGAATCTGGATGTTCACAATTTGAAATTGAATGCATTGGTTTGAAAATGAATTTTACTAAATTGAAACTGAATTTAAAGTTTTGAATTTGAATGAATTTGCTTTGAAACTGTATTTTGGTTTATTAAAAATTCAGTTTGACTACTTTCACTTTCAGTTCCATAATTCAGATTTTTGTGTCACATCCTGGTCCTTGAGAAAGCCATTTGAAAAATCAGTTTTTCTTTATTTCTTCCCTTTGTTGCAGAGCCAAAAC